TAGAACTCACAGTCTCCTGCTTTCTAGCCTGGTGCCTCAACCACTAGACCAAACTTTTTTTACAGACCTGCAAAGGTTGTAAATGAGAGGATTGGTTGCAACGTTACTTTTTCATCACTGTTGTAACTACGAATGGTCGCTAAATGAGGCAGCCACTAAACAAAGACTACCTGTAGTGCATTAAGAAAGAATCTTAACCTTCTTACAGACATGAAACAGAAAACAGAAATATAAGAGCACAATGACTACAGGAGTGGAGAAGAGCCTTCTCAAACCAAACTCTCTCCAGAAAGAGCATACAGAACAAAATAAAGGAATGGTTTAGCACATAAGAAGAACGGAAGGAGATAACTGAGAGGATACCAGAGGCACAGCAGTTTAGGTACAGAATTGCAAGAAAGAGAGAGACACCACCAGAATTAAACACTATATGGATATTTCTCATAAAACAAGACACCCTCTTCTCAGCCTGATCCAACCCTCATCCAATCACTTAGGATTTAAACAAGATGTTCATAGTGCCCTCTTTTAGAAAGGGGAGGGGAAAAAATCAAGCCATGAACAATCCTGAATTCTTCGTTTGTGCAAGAAAAAGTTACTGTTAAATATATGAAAAAGTACTGTTGACTGTTTATGACTATGTTTCATTTATTTATCAAATCTATATAGGTACATAATTGTTCATAATTATGAATTAAAGACTCTTATTTGGGTCTCATCCAGCTTTTCTTTTCTCCCTCCTCAGTTCACAATTACATTTTTCAAGTTTTTCTGCTGCTTACTGAAACAAGCATTTAAAAATAATTTCCCCATACTATTTAATTGAATTAATAGTTATGATTTTTCAAGAAGAAATATATATGCTAAAGATTTGGAAAAAGCATGTCTATGGATGACATGTTTTCAGAATCATTTAGGAACATCCATATTTAGCTTTTGGAAGAACCTATCAAACAAGGAATAAACTACTAAATTTTGCCACATAATCTTTTTATACCCAAACTCTAATACCATGAATACTGTAAAGGGCTTTCTGCAATGCTTTCATACCATTTTCAGCCTTGGTCATTTGCTTACAACATAGTGATAGCTTGGATAATTTCTAGAAAATGATCCAAATTAAACAACTTTAATATTTAGTATTATACAGTTTTCAAATGTTTATCTAATTTGGAAATGGAATGCAGTCATCAAATATTATGTCCATGATTTCTATACACTCAGGAATAGGAAAGGGGAAACATTTTAATACAAACTTATTTAATTTTATTTTGTAAACCAATAGCAGAAAGTATGCATCACCCTTTTGTAAGGCCTTAAACAGCCTGTTTTCTTCCCCTGGGCTTAGGAGATGAGCCATTCTGGTAAATGGTTTTAGAATGAGAACATGCTGCAATTGGCCCCAGCTGTGCTGTATTGTGTTGTGTTTCTGTGGCTTTTATGTTCATTGGTTCATTTTGTTCCATGTTTAATTATCTGTTAATTGACCAAGGTTGCAATTTGTGAGTTGGGAGGTCATGTAAATTGATTAAATAAATAAATAACGTCACAATTCATGTATCTAGCAAAACATTCAAAAGTAGGCAACACTGTATATTTTAGAACTATTCTAAATTAAGAATGAAAGTGTTCTTAAAAGTGAGCAATAAAATTTCAAAACTAAGCAACAAAACTGACTTCAAAATTTCAATTCAAGTAGAACGTATGAGCTTCTAACTTACCACCAGATGCATTGCTTATAGCAGAGCCTGCGGATGCTACTTTTGACACAGCAGCGGGATTATACGTCCAAGAAGTTCCACAAACCTCTACTTTTAAGTCACTATCTGAGTAGATCTGCTGGACCCTTCCAACTTTACCTAAAGTCTAGATTGAGGAAACCTAGTATTATTTATAAATTCAACCATATTATATGGATACTTTATTCTATATTTCAATAAAGCTCTGTGAATGTTGACTTAACAATGAATTACTGCAGATCAATCACTGCTATATAAAAAATTAAGTTTATTTCTATTATGATTTCAGTAAAATATTCTTAATATTTTTCAACAGATTCAAGAATTAAATAGTTCCACTCATTTTGATCTTTACATTTTTAAGATAACTAAAAAATTATTTCTAAGATTATTGTACAAATGTCTAAACCTAGAGGATAAAAAGAGAGGTGGACTGGTTGGGAGGATGACTGTTGTGATTCGCATTAAATTATATTAAGTATTCAATATTCATATTCAATAATGTATATCCCTAAAAACTAGGTGGACTTAACTTTTCCATCAAGCTTCATTCCAAGTTCATTACTGCCCCTTACTTATGTCATAATGGTAACTGTTGGAGTAAACCATCCAAGCAGAAAGTCACTTCCTCCCCTTTGGGTTGATTATATATAGTAATGAATAGGATTTATCCAGAAAGAGAAACTTATATCAAATGAATATAAATTTACATAATTCTCTAAAATTTCACTGTCATTTCCCTTCAGCCCTGAAATAAACTAATCCACATTTTAATTTGAAATGACACAATAACAAAGATATTTATATAAACTTACAGGAAGCATTGCTTCAGCCCATTCACCATGTCCTCTTTGAAGCAGCTTAATTCTTTCTAAGTCATAACAAACTTGGACAAGATCACCCACTTGAAATTGTGAAGTACCACCTTCAGCACCTTGTACAGCATCTCCACTTCGGACAACATTGGCTTTAGTAAGAACAGCAGGGTTAAAGGTCCATCTAAAAAGTAACAATAACTTAAAATATTATTATGGCAAGTGATTTTATAGTTTTATGAAAATATAACTGAATAGTTCACTGTTGCTCAGTTTTGCCCCACATTTGCAAAAAATGCTTGATTCTGAAATAATGCATTAATGCTTTCAGGGTGAAGACTATTAGCTAAAATGAGAATGATTCAATTTTTTTTTTTTAATCAAGTAATTTAAGGGCAATCCAGTAATTTGCAAGCCAATTACATTAAGGCTTATTCGGAGTAAATTGGCTGATAAACTGGTAAATATCAAGTATGTAGTAGAATAAATCTTACTGAAGAAGAATCACCATAGTTCTCAAAGAATCACCATAGTTCTCTTACCTCGCTACAGATCTTTCAAAACATTACTAACTATGCAGTTAGGGTGAGCTGACAGATATAGTTTATTTGAACATTCAAAAAACTTTTGACAGCTTTTACTAAAGCAAACTTAATAGTCATGGACAAAAGGCAAAGCTTGTTTCATAAGATGTTAGTTGTTTCAGAAGAGAGAGCACAGGGTAGGAATAAATAAACAAACTGATGGATCTAGGAAACAGAACTGGTGCTTTAAAAATTTGTATTTGAACTGAAATTAATTTGCATATCTATCAATGAAATAGCTGTCTGCTGACAATACTACATACCAAGATGATGATGATAATAATAATAATAATAATAATAATAATAATAATAATAATAGCAGCAGCAGCAGCAGCAAAAGCAGAAGCAGAAGCAGCAGCCACAGCAGCAGCAAAGGTATAAAGGAATGTAGAGATGGACTTGGTAAAAGAATGAATGAACCAATAAGGGAGGAGAAACAGCAACTCAATCCTGGAAAATAGGAAAACATGAGAAAGAAGCTCAAAATAATCCTGCCTCAATTTTGTTGGGTATAAAATAGGGCTGAAAGAATATTTGATAGGCTTTTAAGATTCTGTTATTATACCCTATAACAATAAAGTAGCATTTCTGAAATTACTATGGTGTCTGTTTCCAGACCTAGCCTATCTCAAAGGCCTGAACAAAAAAGCTCCAAGAGTGTGTCAAACTTGGAGAATGCAAATTAAAATAGCAAATATATTTCAATATAAGCTAGAGAGAAAACAGTATCATAACTTTATACCCGCATATACGAACAGAAAAAATAGCATCTTAGGTTGTAGTGACTGATTAGCAAAGGAATCTTAAGCCATAAAACACAGCTGAGAGAACACTGACTCAGTGTGTGGCAATTGTGAAAAAAGATAAATCCATGTTAAGTATTAGAAGTATTCTCTGAATTCAAAGTAGTCTGTTCCAATTTTAAAGAAGTGTTACAGCTCTGTTTTGACCTTACCAGAGCTGTTTGAAGCTCACTGTTTGAGCTTGGACCATTTCTAGCAAAATTGCTGTGAGCTCAAAACAAATTGTTTCAAACCTGAAACAATTGTCTGAACTCAGAAAAGTGTCCTATTGAAAATATTTTGCACATCTCATCTAACGATAATTAAGAAAAAGATTTAAAAATATATAACTGACAATATCATGATCCTGCAAAATGTGCAGGAAGAAAAAAGCCAAAACAAAATTTTCTAGTAATGAAAGTTTGACAAACCAATTGCCCAGAGGCATGGTGGGCTTCTCTTCACTGGATGTGTTCAAACAGAAGCAAGAGAGCCATTTGGTAGAATTAGATTAATTTGGATTTCTGCATGAAGCAGGAAGTTGGAATCAGGGACCTAAATGGCCCCTTCCAGCTCCATGATGAAGACACTGGAGCATCTTCCTTTTGAGGAAAGGTCAGAAACATGGAAATTAAGCAGGTTACTGTAGTATGTTGTAAAGAAAATAGGCAGAAAGAAAAAAATTGCTTTCTCTCATAATAGTGGAAGCCAGCGTCATCCCTTGAAGCTAAATGGGAAAGATTTTAAGAAAAACACAAAGTAACTATATAATTCAATGGCATAATATGACCCATAGGCATCTATTTGGCCACTATAGAAAACAGGATGTTGGATAAACCTTTGATCTGATTCAATATGTATTTTAATTTAGTCTCATATTTGAAATAAAATACTGCTCATATATGCTAATTTTTAAAAATGTAGTCATAAATCTGTTTTTTAAGTGTTCTAGGCAAAAAGTCTAAGGTTCTAGAAAAATGCTTGTTTATTTTATGTAATGTGATCCCAACAAAGACTTGTTTATGCATAGACAGAGGAGAATTAATTGTACAAAGAGTTAAGAACAGGGCTTCTAACAGTTTCCCGCAAAAGTCTTTGTGTACCTAATGCCTGTTAGTTAATGAACTGCACAAATTTTGTGGCTGAAGCTATCGAAGTTTTTAGACTATAGCAGGAAACAGAAGTACACTAGATATGTCTTAAACAAATACAATTTGGAGGGGGGGTAGTTTTCTTTATAAAAATGTTTGGAAATGAATGAAAATACTATTCTAATTGGAACAGTTGGTTTAAGTAGTACTCTTGACTAAAACCAACCTTTCTTTGTCATACTGTTAAAGAAGTTCTAAACTAAATGTTTTAAACAGGCACTGTGTCAAAGTAATCAGCAAATGTATAAAACTTTACAAAAAAAGAAATAATCTTTATTGTATTATGCAACATATATAAAGCAAAATTAATGAACATGGTATTGATATTTATAATTCTGTCGCAAGAAATAAAGAAATGGGGTGAATGACACAGAATGCAGAAATAATGGAGAATGTAAGAAGATATTTCTGTGCTATATTAACTATTAGGTCCTGAGAATTCTATTTGAAGTTTTACTTTATATTATATAATTTGTTTATAGAAACAAATCAAAAGAAATAAATTACTAATATGTCCTTTATCTTATATGTTATAGTATTTTGACATGTCTAAAGCAAAAGTAATGCCAATTACTCACGGACTATAGATTTTCAAGCTGCTATTTATTGCTGGAATCATTTCTGGGTAACACTATGCAGGACAATGAATATGAAGCAAAGCTAACAAAATGTCAGCACTTTTATTGTTGCACATGGCATTTACCTGAAAGTCACTTTACCAATATGGATTAATGTTTCCATTCTTGTTTGGACATCTTGTATGATTCAACAGTAAATTTAAATCACTAATTGAACACTTGCATAGTAAGAAAGATTTGCTTTATAAAAATTAAATTAATATACCTATTCCCACTTGGATACTGTACAACAATGTCATGATCTTCATCTATACCACAAACTGTGCCAGTAGTTGTTAAGGTTTCAAACATTCCATCAGTCCATCCTCCATGACCATGTTGTAATGACTGAACAATTTCTAAGTCAAGATCAATGTTCACTAGATCACCAATCTGTAAACCACCAGGATTTCGGTTGCCATTCTGTTCACCTAAAGTTAGAATTTAAAGAGAATGTATGTTTTGGAAATTTCATTCACAAATAAAAAATACATAATTTATAATTATATTAAAGGATATGTTGCTGTTTTAGCAGTCTAATCCTATTAATGTGGAAACACAGCAGCATTACATAACTACAAGTGCAATCAGGTAATAGTATTATCACTTCATTTAACAAAGTTATGTAATTATAGTCTAGAAAAATATGATAGATATTAAGTAAAATGCTCTGTGAGGGACAAATAATATTCTATCCTTCCATACATGATTGCTGTAAAGGATTCTGATTCTACAGTGGAAGAAGACAAACTAAACCTGCCTGATGACCCTGGAGGGGGAAGGACATAGATAACAAAAATCAGGTTCCTCTCCTTTCCTTGGTGTGAAGGGAATCAATATACTGGCACAATAAAGGAAACTGTTTGTTAGAAGGTGCTAGCATCAGTGGGCAGGCTTGGAGCCTCCTTAAAGAAGTAAAATTTAGAGGCTCCAGCTCAGCCCATAGTAAGATCACCCCACTTTCTTATCACATGCTACATTCTGGCTGTTAAGGTCATGTTATAATTGACATTGCTTTTCTAATTCTTATATATCATTTCAGAGGGTATATAACCTATAACCTTGGGACCTTGGGGCTCTTCTGCATTCCTTGGCAAGGAGCCCAGCGATCACTATATTTGTGCATGCCAATAAACAATACTCACTTGTAGCATCTATCTCCAAGTATTATGGTCCTTCCATAAGCAGGCATTTTTCCTACAACCATTCTCATTAATGTCATCAATCACCTACCAGATTGCATACACACATGTCCCTTTAGTTTTATACACTAGTTATACATCAGAATTCAGATTCTGTATCTTCTAACTTACCAAGCACAGGACAGTGGTCTCGATAGAAGGATCCTCCTTTTGAATCCTGGACACATTTAAGGTCTGACTAGAAGAAATAAAAAGTCATACAGAGAACTTAACACAGAACTAATATATGCATTATAACAATTTTGTGAGATAATATTTATTATCACTTGATAAATGGTACCTTTAAAGCTTTTCTTCAGTAATTCATAAGGAAATATTAGATTATGGTACTTTGCCACACAGGTTAAGAGTATTCTAAACTATAGATACTATCTGGTAAATAGGCACTGGTTTTAAGTGGGCATTCATACTTTACCATTAGGACACTGCAAAGTTAGTACATGTAGTAGATGTAAGTTTGATTATTTTAAGTGGGGCTTCTTAGCAGTATAAACATGTAAGGAATTGTAGCATAACTGCGCTACCTCTTCCCCATTTGTTTTATAGTTCATGGCAAACAAACAAACAAAAAGATTAGGCAACTCTGCCATTTACTCTGTAGTAAATCTATAGAAACTATTTGGAAAAGGACCACTAATTTCAAATTAACACTCAAGCTTTGCAATTATAACTCAGGATCATTAAAACTCCTGGTTAATAGGGATATGATTACCAATATTTTCATTTCTTTCTCATTTTAATCATACCAGGTTCCTTCTCAACAAATAGAAGGCCTTGTCCAACTCATGCATATTCATCCCTTATAAAACCAGTGATGATGCTGAAACAGACAACAATTTCCCCAAACATTTGGGAACTTGTATGTTTTCAAAGTCAAATAAAATGCATAAAAATAAGGCAACCTTACAAACATATATAGACAAATTCTTGAAAGAGTACCTCCAATTAATATACCTAGCAACAAATTCTAATGCTTTTCCTCTTTCCTAATAGTTGTTCTTGCCATGCCTAATCCAAATAGCAGCCATCTGGTTCTATCTCTGAAGCAATTCCCATTGGGCAAAGGTCATTCAAGGCATATACACTAAAGTATGAAGCAAACAGGAGGAGAACTGGGCTTTAATTCATATCAACTGAAACTCAGGGAACAAACAAAGGGACAGGTGGTATATATACCAACCATGTGCTACTACAAAGATCTCTGTTTCTTTATTATCAGGAGAAAAAAGCCCCCAAAAAGTGACTGGCAGATGCAGGATGAAAAGAATAATATCTTATCCTCTGAATAATATAAATGTATCATACAACAATCTTAAAAATGGAAGACCAGTAACTGATATTTCCAAAAGTCATAACCATACCATACCAGATAGAACCTCTGCATTTGCACATTCACACCCTGTAATTTTGTGACAGGGGTAAAGAAAAAGAATCAAAGCATGGGAGGAAAATATATACGCACAGGGCAAATCATTAGGCTATTTTTAATACTAAACTATAGTTATGTTTGAGCATGCAACACCATGAATTTTGGATGCAAAACTTTTTTCAAAATGATTTTAAAATCAATGAAGTGCCTTTGCTGATTATGTTCTGTTTGTGTTGCAATACTAACATGACAGGAATAAAAGCATATTTATAATTATCCATAATTTTGAACAAAGTACATTTTCCCAGTAAAAAAAAAAAAAAAGGAGCCAACATTTGCATCACAGCATTTTATTTCCAAACAGAAAATGGAAAGAACTTGCATCTTGATTAGGATATACTGCCAATTTGTATAAAGACAATAGACTGCAATAAAACCGATTTTCATAAGAAAAGAATAATAATTTTACTAATGCTAAAAATGCCCATTAATCATAAAACTGTACCAAGTATCTTCATGTTATATAATACATAAAAGAAAATTAATTTAATTCTTCATTTAAGCAAAGAGGCATATATACATTTCTGTCTATCTAAAACACACACACACGCATGCACACTTGAAATAAAACAAAAGAAAATGTTAACTGTAGTGATTATGCCCTAACATCACTGAAACCAAAATTAGAAGTTTATTACTCAAGCAAGAAAATTAAATTCCACAATGCATTAATGTATCATGAATAATACAAACATTTAACAACATAAAGGATGGAAATAAACACAGAATTGTATTACAACAATCTCTACAATTAAACATATTAGCTGTATTTTATAGAAATAAGTCATCTATTTAAAAAAGGAAACTACAAATGCAGAGACAGAAGCCAGCTTAAAAATTAGTCTGCATGTTTAATAAACTGAGATCAGACTTCTGCATATGTATTAGTTATCCCTACAGCTGTAGGAACAATGAAGTGCCAAATAGAATGCAAACTGACAGAAGGAGAATAATAGCACAGGACAGGCCATTTTTACTACTTCATCATGAAATACTTTTGTTCTTTATATTGTTTTACTTCTTACCATGCCCTCAAAGCCAACTCTGTAAAGGTTTTTAGCTCCATTGTCCCACAAAACATATGCTGCACTGTGTGGACTTGATGCACTCCAATCTTGGATTTCAGTTACCTAGCAAAATAAAGAAAGATATATGTTTAGTATAAAAAAAAAAAAAATCAGGACCACCCCACAGTCAGCAAGAATGCTTATTCTATTTTTCTATAAACACTGAATTGATTACACCTAAAAAAAACTGCCAATAAATTACAACACAATTCTAGCCCCATTTGTTTTTTTTAAAGAACAAAGAGTAAAAACTATAAAAGAAAACAGTTAAAGCAGCAGTTAAAAAATAATAATATTCTATGCCTTTGCAGTGATGATTAAAAATATGGGAGGTAAATGGAACTCTCCAAAGACCACTAGGCAAAACAGTGACATCCCTCCCATACCCGCATCAACTTCTTATATCAACCATTCAAGAATGACCCAAATCACTTAAACACAGTGCCCCAAGTCCTGTCTGGCAAGCTGTTAGAAAGATACTATGGTCATAGCTATCAAACACTACTGAGTAATCCAAAAGAATAGGCAGGAACGCACTCTTCGTCTACTTCCCAAAGGTCATTCACCAGGGTAACTACATCAATTTCTGTCTTGTAACCAAAAAACAAGACTGCAATGTGACCCAGGACCACCTATGTGTTGCAAGATCATGCCCTGAAGCCTAATCAGAAACTAGCTTAAACTCAGTGAGGTTCAGTGGATCTACTGTTATTTTTTAAAAGAAATATCAGCACTGTTCCCTTTTATAGGCAGCAATATCTTCTGTCAGAGTTACATACCACCTACATTATGCAACCTAGGTAATGAAGCTCCACTCAAATGTTAGTTACAAAAAACAAGAATATTCATGGCAGGACATATATTTTCAAGTAGCCTGCTCATAAGTTTAAAAATATTAGGTCAAAATTTACCCTACATAGTCAAAGATAGATGAAGGCAACCATAATATTCAGGGGATCCACTGAACATTACTTCATCCATTTCCCCAAGTCAGATTGATTAGAATCTTTACCAAGAAAAAAGTATTACTGGCCATCATTGATCAGATGTAGTTGTGATGGACAAGCAAGCTTCCTGCCATAAAAACCTCTTAGAAATACACTATTGTCCGGTTTTATCATACCCATTATGAATTTTCTACACTACCCATTCACCAAATAATTTTATTACTATTGCCACCTCACTCTACTAAAGAATTATCACATTAGCTCAGTGAGTCACACCAGGATGATTCAGCAATCATATCAATATTTCGTTTTTAAGCGGATGGGGACCAAAGAAAGATTGTCAGTTAGCAGGAAAATCAACAGAAACATCAAAGATTCATTTGTATCTGTAAGCCTCCACAGGTAGGAACACATAATGGATATAACCTGTCACTAATCCAAATTGAATCAGTTCATGAACTGTTCATAATAGGGGAGACATCAAAAGTACTCTGAACTCTTACTTTGCCCCTACGTCCATTGCCACCATCTTGATCTTCCCATTGCCAATCAACTCCTCGTACCACCCTGGCACCTGTAAAGATTCCTCTTGCAGTGATTTTCTTTGATTTACGGCGAGATTCCAGTAATACCCTAAAATTTAATATTGATGATATGTTAAAGAGATGCCCAAAAATAACTTGTTTAAAAATGTTTATTGTCAAAATTTAAAGCCTGCTTTAACTTAAAACAATATACTTCAGTTTAATGAACATTTCAGATACAGGAGTTTTTCTAAATATTATAGTTTTACAATGATACATACTTATTAGTAAGTGAGTTTGTTACCTTTCACTTCCAGGTGTGGTTATTCTGTAAAAGCGGTGTCTTAGATGATGTTTATCCCCATGATAACATACTGTGCATAAATCATAATTTGTACATTCCGCACATTTCCATCGAATACCAATTATTGGTTGCTGGCGACAAGTATCACACATAGTCCCATCATGTTTAATCCCTGCAAATAATTATACAATTAATGTAATATTTTGAACAGCACATATGAAAGCAAACACAAAAACATATACTGCATCTAGGCATTGACTATAATACCATAATTTCAATTACTTTGCAAACCATACCCTATAATGCCCACATTATTCAATTTAATCACATAATAGCTTAAGATACTAATTATGGCAAGTATCTAAATATGAATTTGTATAAGCTGCTGGGGCTATAACTACATATTAAAAACAATCCAATCTGCCAGATAGGCAAATTCAGTACTGTTTAGATATTAGAATTGACTGAACATTAGTATTATCATTAAAATTTATCATACAAATATATTTAGAAAGCAATCTATAGTTCTAGCTGCTATATCTCTAAAAAAGAATGTAGTCATTTTAAGTTAAATGGGCTTTTCTCTTCATGGCATACAAAGAGCAAGAACAAAACTCATCTCACAAAATAGTAGAACTAGGAGTCACTGAATGAAATTAACAAGGAATAAAGAACAAGCAATGTCACAGAGAGGACCAGCATCCTTAAGAGGGCAACTGTGACACATTTGCTGCTTGGGTCTGAATATTTCTCATCACATATGTACTAATTAATTAGTGACAAGAAAGCTACAACATAACTGAGTTCCATCATTATTATTTTGCCTTCCCTTCTATTTCAAAATTTAGAGCTGACCCTACCAAACACAAATGCTGTACTGAATTTAATGGATAGTTGATCTAGCCTGGCATTTCCTATGGTTCCATGTATTTTCAATCTCAGGGAAAATGGCATAATTTCCAAATCTGCATTTTCTCCTATGGTTAATCTTTTCTAAGCAAATAAATAATAATCTTATAACAACAGAAACATTGAGCCCATACATTGGTTATGCTGAATTATGACTGATGAGTCTGTTTTTACCCTGGCTGCTGTTTCTATGTGCGTTTTCAGTTTTTCAATTTTCTTTTAATATTGTTAGCTGCCCACAATTACAGTGGGGCAAAGAAGTATTTAGTCAGCCACCAATTGTTCAAGTTCTCCCACTTAAAAAGATGAGAGAGGCCTG